AATTGCTTATCCAGTGCAGGGACAAGGTGACTGAGGAGCCTGTCTCATTAAGCACAAGGGAACAAGGTAGGGGACACTCTGGATGGGGGACCAGTCTGCTAACACACTAAATGCCCAATATAGATTTGGCCAATTTGTATATTACTCATTTCAAGATGAAATCTTATAAAAGCAGCAAAAACTATATTAGTTCATGCAATGGCCCTTTGCGGGTATGATTGGCCACCACTGAATTAGGGGTTCACTGTAAATGGTAAAAAAGTGTTCACTGTATGGTAAAATAAAAAGTAAAAAAAAATAACACATAATGATTGAAGACTGGATTAGGATTTCAGTTACAGCCCAAAGATCAGCCGTTTTGCATAAAAAGCTTTTTGTAATCGAATTGCCTGTTCAGTCTTTTTGAAAGCATACCTGTTGCAGTCCACAATTGCGCTCCATTGCATCAAAATATCTGTAAGGATCTGAGGAGCATTTCATTATGGTCAAACTGACAGTTCCTGTGAAGAAAATGACTCATTTACAGTGGCTGAATATCAGCTTGCCCAGAAGCTGTCGTAGCTGCTGAGGCGTATGCATTTCTGATGAGCCAAAAGGAAATGCTGGGCTTGAATCTGGAGAGACGATCCTGGCAGGGGGACAGAAAGAGCACGCAGTGGGGAAGCCACAGTGCAGGCCAGCTAGACCTTAGACACTTTATTAACAATAAATACAGCGCCTGCTGTTAAGTTATCACCAGACAAAAATGAATTTTATTTTTGAAAAGTAAACATTGCCTTTGTAAGTCTTGCATATATTATTGCAAAGTGTAGCAACAGAATGTTAGAAATATTAAGTACAGTCAGAAGCATGAATTGTCCTGTGAAACATAACAGAGAGAATATGACTCACAGTTTGATATGTGATTTAAAAATATATGATTTTAATAGGACTAAATTGCAATGTTCCACAAAAGAGGTAACGCACATGATATCAACAGGGTCAGGCTGTACACAGTTGAAGTGGAAGGACATATATCACAATATCACAATATCACAATATCAGATGTCGTGTGGCCCCATGTCAGCTCACATATCTCACTTCAACTTTTACTTCTGCTTTAGTGTGTGTGTGTGTGTGTGTGTGTATTTGACGTCTGTTGAATTCAGGGAGTTTCCTGATATATCCGTCCGTTTATTTCGCACTTATGAGTGAAATGTGACATGCGGCAGCTGACTGACACAGATGGCGTCGCAAATTCCTCGCCTGCATCTCCAAGTGCAGTTGGGGTTAGAAAAAACAGAAGCACTCTCAGGTGAATGTTTCCAGGAATCAGGCCCATTCGTCCATAAGCCCCCACTGTGCCACACGCTCCCCCCCCCCCATTCTCTGCCCCCTATGCGTAATGTTTCCTTTGATGTCTTCCGTTTTTGGGAAACTGTTTGGCAGATAGTTCTATGAATCCACCTCCACCCCTGTTTACTTTTACCAGGACAAAATGAAAAGAATGAACGGGGCACAAGAAAGAGACGACAGGCTGTCTGTCGGTACTTGTCCAAGCTGCCTTTTCTCACAAGCTGTTGGCGAGAGACGAGTTGTGGATGAGCTCCGGTGGGGATCATCCTGGCCTCATCTCCACAGAAAAAATCCTGTTAAAGTTGCCCTTACTGGAAGTGACCCAAAGACCTAGCAAATGGCTATTATACTTGAGAACAGCTCTCTGGAGGCTGCACAAAAGTGAATGATAGAGATAGATAGATAGATAGATAGATGGATAGATGGATAGATAGATAGATAGATAGATAGATAGATAGATAGATAGACATAGATAGATAGATAGATAGATAGATAGATAGATAGATAGATAGATAGATAGATAGATAGATAGATAGATATAGATTGGATGGATGGATGGATGGATGGATGGATGATAGATATTTTATTTATCCAGAAGGAAATTCGGGACAAGGGCCGGTTTGTTGTCTCTGAGGCCTTTCCCAAATGCATAGCTTGGTAGTAAACACCTCTTCTGGTTTGGGTTGGCATCATCAAACACACCCAGCTCTATATTCAACAATCTAAAAGTCTAGCAGCCCTCAAAGCAACAGAGACGTAAAAAGTGGCAAAGTTAGAAATTGTTGATACTTTTTGATGAAAATGGCGTCAGCTCCCATAATAATAAATCATATCAAGATGTTCTCTTAATAATTAGTCATTTTTATCTGATCTCTCTTTTTAACCTGCCCTGGGCTGGAGAACCGTGGTATATTTAAAGGTGGATTTAGTCAACAGGTTTAATGTTGCTTTAAGCATTCTGCACTAATTCTCTTTTAATCTATAAGGAAATAATATTATGCACTAAAACATATTATACTATGATGTAATAGGATAACAGGGATAAGGCAGAAGCTTCTCCTTCTACGCTTTGCTATTTTATGCTCTCTGACACTGAACTTCCTTACAAAGGACTTTTTCCTTCATAATTTGTCGTATTGAAGGCTTTTGGATTTGTCTTTAGTTTCACAGTGAGTGCATTGCTTTTGCACAGACCTACTGTAGTTAACGTTACTGTTTATGCAGCAGATTCTTCTAAAGACAGCAGAGTTAAAACACTGGAAGAAAGTAAATCTATAAATGAAAATAACAGCTGAAAGCACCTCTGGCATCTTGTTTGCTGCAAACAGGGCTGTTGGTTTTTACGGTCTGGTGGATTGAATGGAATGGATTCAGATTAGTCAGATGTGAAATTGTATGGAAGGATAACACTTATATCTGCTTTTTGAGAGGCAGATAATAGATTTCTCTGTACCACCAGTTTAATTACTAGCCAAATACTGTAATCTTTGTATCTTTTACAAAGACGGGTTTTTCTTTTTTGTCAATATTTTATCAGTGAGACATCTTCGATCTTTTTGCTTTATCTAGTGGCATTTTTGGGGATGTTGTGGTGATAAATTTGACATGGTTCACTCTTAGAAGTACCTGGGAATGCAGGCCGAGTCTGAGGTCACCACGCTCTTCGGTGGGCTTGGCTTCCCTTGTTTATGGACAGGCTCAGAAAAGATTATTTTAGTCTACGGTGGTGGTTTCTGGTAGATGATGTTAATACCTTAACAGTATATATATGCATTTAACTCACATCTCTGCTTGAACTGGTCCGCTGTGACCCTACAGTCCCTGTACAATAAGATCTTACAAGGGTACAAATGACGCAGGTACAATATCCATGTCCTTTTGCATTTCCTCCTTGCTGGTGAATGACATGTCATGCTGAGGGGTCTGATTGGCTTCAGAATTTTATGAGGGAGTCACGGCTGGGACAGGACAGGAGTTTGGAATAAGGCAAGTGGGCTCATCTCTCTTTGGCCTTGCCCTGCAGTGACCCTGCCAGCCCAGTCCGTCTTGAGGCTTGAGTGATCACCATTTGGGAGATTAATCCTCTGGCCTGTGGGAACATATGGCAGGATGGATGGCGCTTGGGCTGGCCATCTCTTTCATCCTACAGACTGGGGAGTCTGTGTCTACCATCATAAATCACCCACTGTCAATTAAACATGGGGCATCATAGGGAGACCTGTCAATCAGTCACTGTCAGGCTGGACCCTTATACATGGTGGCATGATCTCTGCAGATTTACTCGAAACTCTATCAGACCTGTAAATGCATGGAAGTCTGAATGCCTCGCATTTATCTCCTGTAAAGTACTGGAGGTTACGATGCTTCTTCTGAGTGGCACTGTGCAATCCACTGAGACATTTTCAGGATTATGTTGTTAGAAGGGCTGGATACAAAGATGCTTTCACTGCATTTCTAATTACTTTCCCATGCTAATCTGATCAGTCCCACACAAAGACCAGTGAATGCAATCAAAAAACTAAAAATGCCAAAAGTCTAGTATTTTGTTTGGTTACTTATGTTTAAGGTTAGGGCTGGGTATGGGTTAAGGTCGTCGAGTTTTCTCCATAGAAATGAATGGAGAGTCCCCACAAAGATATAATTACAAACGTGTGTGTGTGTCTGAAATGGTTCTGCTTTTCCTTTTTCTCCTAGCATCATTCTATACACCTCATCATGCCTCCAGTGACCCCAGTCACACTGAATACTCTGCTACCATGTTTATATAACCTTGCAGGTCTCCTGCGTCTCTGGTGCTTGTATCCGCTTTCCTGGCAGCAGGTGCGTGTTTAATGCCAGGGAACACGAAATCCCCGCACAGCTGCCAAAACCTGCCCTTAGATGTAAGATGGCGTACCTTTTACATCCTGCTAAAGTGATTTTGCCCTTTGTTCTGTCATTTTTTGGTGTTGTTTATCAGAACGGCTCCTCACAGCACTTTGCTGTATTCCCATAGATGCAGTTGCCAATGCTGCTTGATTCTGTTATTAAAGATCTGCACGTTATAATACGTTCATCTCTCTCTCTCTCTCTCTCTCTCTCTCTCTCTCTCTCTCTCTCTCTCTGTCTCTCTATCTCTCTCACTCTCTCAACACTGTAGTGCAGAGGGCTAACATTTTTAGGAAGGCTCTGTGCTCTTCCCTAACACCTGTCTCACAGTCAGAACACCGGCAGCACGTCCAACAGAAAGTTCATTATGTCGAGAACAGAGCTTACTGTTCCCAAGCAAACATTCTGCCAGACGAGTAGCTTTCATAGCCCTGGTCCATCGACACCCACCTGCAGGTGTCTTCCCCTCCATCACGCTCCGGTTCGCGGCTGCTTCCTTCACGGCCCTGGGTCATGTTGTCAGCATTTGCATGCCAAATAGCGACAATAATAATAAATAAAACAGGCAGCAGTAATTTGAGAGTCAAACAGGGTCATTGCACTTTTCTGGTTTGTTGCATACTGCCCTGCTATATAAAAGTACAGGGATTTCCCACTCCTCAGAAAAACATCGGGAAAATTCCTGTTCTTAGTACTCCCTCTAGTGGTTCTCTAGCTGTAATGAAATTTCATTCCAGCCTCAGAATATTTCCTTCCGCTTAAGTGACAAATCTACAGAAACACAATACAAAAGACTGTTGAATTTGTGTAACTTGGACAAAAAGCTTTATTATTGGACCATTTGGAAAACTATTGTAATACTAATGTTTTGGTTAGATGACTGAACCACAGTCCTTTTTATACAGATGTTTTAGAAACCAATTGCAAAATAACCAAAAACATAAAGCAAACGTAGTATGGAACTCATGCTAATTCTATTGTTATTAAATTATGATTCATAATTAATAATCTTAAATGAGCTAAGCCACGGCAGAAAATCAAGTTACCCTGTACTGTACATACAGGCACATGAAAAATAGAATAATATTGCAGTTATCTGTCCGTTACCTGACTAATGTGTGGTTTTACCACAAGATCAAAATATAACAATATATACATTCAGAATAGCAAGAAAATCAGTCTTCATAGAGACCTGAAATATGTGAATGTAATTTATTTCATTTCTAAAAATCCTAATAAAATCATTCAGTACGAAAAAAAACAAATACCACAAGTCATGAGTTAGTTTTGTAAGACAAGACAACAGACCATGTGTAACAGTCATAGTCACCATTCAATAGTGGCTCCCTTTCAGTGACTCCTACCTTCTGTCCCAAATGTCCCTGAACCCCTAGTAGTATCCCCACATACAGGTCATGGTGGTTGGCCCCAGTCATTTATATACACTGATAGCCATGTTCACTGTGTTACCGGCAATGACCCCACACAGGTCTGCATATGTGCATTTGTGACATGCTAGTGTCATTATTCTATTTGCGGGGTGATGGGTGGACTGAATGCTTAACTTCCAAGGCCTGAATGTTCCAACTGCATTGAGAGTTGTGATGTTGCATTGTCCAAAGGTCATACTGTATGTAGTGGTTTCAACATATTTTCACTAATAAACTATTCCCACTAATTTGTGCCCACACATAATGTAGATATGTGTGCATTTCAAAAGCATTTTAAGTTTAAAGATAACTTCCATTACCACCACAAACCCTCTGACAGAAATATGTTGTTTTATTTTTAAATAAATTTATCATTTAAGGGAACACCTAATGAAATGTGCTTCATGACATCTGGTTCACATACAGTTATTAGTTGTTTACTTTGTATATATAATCAGTGCATAATTAACAAACAACATTCAATAAGACATTCTGGTAATGCACACAGAGTTTAGAGAAAAATAGCAAATGCTCTTCAACTGCTCTTATTATGAACAATATCCATTGTGTTATAACACCAAAGACAATAAATCCATTCATCATCTACAAAAAAAAACAACAGCACCATCATAAAAAAAATTCAATCAGAGGACTGGATGCATTATGTCCTCTTCATGCAAACCTGGCATCTGCTAATGTGGGTGATGAGATTTCCTGCTTTAAGGGTCGTCGGGGCAGGTTTCCTGAAATGAGATGAAAATGACCCTTAGGGCACAGCAGCTGCACATTTGGTCCTTTTACTGTTGTTGCGGTCTGACATATTGACATAAGGTTGAAGCAAACAGTTATAGAGAAAGAGTCATATACCTGCTTCTTTTTCTGTAATGTTTTTTATTGAAAATATTGGGAAAAGGCAGAGACAGATAGACAGGCAGGCAGATAGACAGACAGATAGGCAGACAGACATGCAGGCAGACAGGAAGATAGAAAGACAGACAGATAAGCAGGCAGACAGACATAGACAGGCAGGCAGACAGACAGACAGATAAGCAGGCAGACAGGCATAGACAGGCAGGCAGGCAGACAGACAGATAGGCAGGCAAGCAGACAGACAGACAGATAAGCAGGCAGACAGGCATAGACAGGCAGGCAGGCAGACAGACAGATAGGCAGGCAAGCAGACAGACAAGCAGATAGGTAGGCAGACAGACAGATAGACAAACAGATACAGATAGGGAGGCAGACATAGACAGAAAGGCAGGCAGACAGACAGGCAGACACATATAGGAAGGCAGACAGACATGGACAGACAGGGAGGCAGACAGATAGACAGATAGGCATGCAGTAGCTCAAAAAACAATGTTAGGCACAATAATATAAACATAAATAGAATAAAACACAAGGATTATAGATGTAGAGAGTGTGTTTATGGCTGCAGAGCACACACACACAAACACTCACATGAATGATAAAATAAACAAAGTATATAATATATATGAAATATGTAATCCATATACTACATTAAATATATATATATATAAAATCGTATAACCTAATATATGTAATATGCATAATATAAAAAGTGAATATTTGAAATATATATGCAGACAAGGCAGATAGACAGATTTACCTAAACATGTCGTCGTCCTCAATAGTAGCCAGCCAGAAACTGTAGGAGTTGGCGTAATAGTTGCAGGTGCCACGACCATGGCACTCGATGAAGGGGGCACTGCGGAAGTCTTCCAGACAAGATCCTGGGGAGGCCAAGGCCTGCCCAGAACCTTCTGCCCCTGCACTGGTGTGCTGCAGGGTGAGTAGACAAGGGCCCCTCATTGCTTAATTTTTTTTAGCATAAGTTGAAAATGTTTACTAAATGCATGTTCAATTGCTGCAGTGTCACCACAGTCCTTCATGCACTGCAACTGTCAATGAATATTTATTTTTTTATCACTGCTAGAATGATCAGCCTGTAGTTGTATTCCTGCACATGGAAGAGACAGCAGGTGTGGAAACTATGTAGCTACAGAAAGATTCTAAAAATGGATGGCAGTAACTCAGTGGGTATCATAATAACAATAGTGCTTGAGTGCCTCTGATGGATTTCGCATCTCATCCAGGTCCTGTTCCACCCAATACTCTACGCTTCCTGAGGTTCCAGGCTACTGCAAACATGACTGGACAAGCTCTTACTGAAAATAGCTGAATACAAAGTCTTAATTTGAGAAGGATATGTACACGGATGCTTGAAGGTTATTCGAATAAACTGAAAAATAAGTGTTCCTTGAGATGAACTCTATAATCCAAAAATTTAGGAACAGAATTTTCAGATTTGTATAATTCTACTGGAACCATTACCTCTTTGTCAAGGGAAACAGAGGAATCTTACCATTACGAATGAGTAGCCAATCCAGAGGGATTCCCACCCCACCGGACAGGCTGGTATCATGATGGACTGGCTATGGAATGCCATAATCATGGCAGGGGCTTCACACACAGAGCAACTGTCAGATGAAACAAACACTATAGTGAGATGATGCATGTAAGGGAGGTGGGACAGACCATGGCAAGAGTGTTTGATTATGTCTATATAGTTACGCAACATATCACAAACAATTGAAAATGTAAAACTGTTAAAAATGTTGCATGAAAAGATATTGCTCCTTTGGACATAGTTTGTTGGCACATTGTCCATAGGTGACATGGGAGTTCAGAGTACACCACCTCAAAGGGGAGGAGATTGAGCTTGCGTCCTGTTCCTGCTCCATGTTCGCGTGGAGTCTACATACACTTTTTACATATTTCTGTATTTTGGTACATATTTTCTTACCATATTATTTTTATTTTGTTATCCTTCTACCTTGTCTTACACAGAGTACAGGCGATTTCATTTCACTGCTGGTGTACCAGTAGAATCATGCTTGTGACAAATAAAAATCTTGAATCTGCTCCCCAAGCATTATGCCTTGTGCTGCCCCAAATAGACTAAAGGTCCATCTGTTGCAATTACCAGGATAAGTGGTTGGAAGATGGATCAAGGATGTAGTGTCGATTCCACAGTGATATTGCCCAAAAAAGGCAACACCACATGGGAAAATCTTACATATTTTTATTTTTTTTGTTTGTGTTTTTGTTTGTTAGTTTTTTAACTGAATAGCCAAGAAATATTGTTGTAATAAGAGCATTATAGGGTCCATTAATATATACTTCTGTACTACAGGCAGTCATTATTCAGAGGTGTTTGTCTGTTCTCTGACCTGGATGTGCCTGGTATGTTTTCGGAATACCCAGCCTACAGTTGGTGCTGCACCCCTTTCAGGCTTTTACCGGCTAATGAAAGGCTCGATGTTGTCCCCGGTGATGGGCTCCATGCTCATGGGCATCGGCTTTGGTGAAGTCAGCCAGTAGGAGTAATCGTTCCTTGATGCTAAGTTGCAGACATTGTTGATGTTACAAAATAGGAAAGGCATAGTGCTGAACTTCTTCATGCAACTCCCTGCAGTTCCTGTAGGTGACACAAGGAAGGCATTTTTAGAATGAGAGGTAAAGAGTTAAGCTCATCAGTCTCGGATTGTTCAGGAGAAAAGAAAAGAAAACAAAATGAACACAGTGATATTACCCAGTAATTTTAAAGTTTACAAACACCAACCTAGGTCTTGTCCATGTGAACGCTCGTTGCCCTGGACATATAAGAGAGAATAGCCACTGTATATGAAATGGGTGCCCCCTGGACAAGTGGGAATGTCCACTGTTTGGCTGTGTCGTGTCAATAAGAAGCCATGATCCATGGAGGGAAGTCCTGGGGGCCCCATCGAGCCAGGAAAGCCATCAGGCCCTGCGGGACCAGGGAACCCTCTGGGGCCTTAAATATACAGGGATGACATCCAAGTGGAATTTTAGTCCAGCTGACCATAGCGGTAATAAAGAAACAGCCATTTAGAATGGGAGGTCTTTCACCTGCAGGTCCACTTGGACCAGGTTCGCCCTTTGCTCCAGATGTGCCATCAAACCCAGCATCTCCATCTTCTCCTGGCATGCCCAATGGTCCAATCACACCTGATTAAATAGTTAGTGGGATTCTATGTAGTATTTGATGTAGTATTTAAGTGAACACCTCAGTTCCAGAACTGATACAATAGCCTTTTAGGATCATGAAAGGCATTACGCAGATACCTTGCAGGCCTTTAATACCAGGAAATCCTTCAGGTCCTCTCGGACCTGGTGGTCCTTGAGTCCCTGGAAAGCCAGTCTCTCCTTTGGTAAAAGTTGGTTGACCAGGAGGTCCAGGGTGGCCAACTCTACCTGAGAAATTGGGTAGGCAAGCAAATTGCTTCTTTCAAGTTGCACTAAAAGTGTGGCTCAGCTGGTTAGGACAGAGGCCTGATGCTGCTTTCTCAAAAAAGTGTATGTTTTCTTTAGATAAAAGCATTTCCTAAATTAATGTAAATATTACATGGGTCAGTTGGTCTCATTTGTGTGGCTTTATTTGAGCTTGTTTTCTCAAAGAACCCCATTTTGGCCATTTTCTATCCTTCCTTACCTTTCTCGCCAGGTAAACCCTTGTCTCCTGCTTCTCCTTTGAATCCCACCACACCAGGTTCACCTTTCATTCCTGAAGAAAAGAGGTGACTCCCACAATAAGTCAACATGGGAAAGCACAAGACTGGCACATTCCACTTCATTACAGGTCATCCAGTTATTGCAGCTTATGTTACTTTCAAATTGTACCTTGAAATCCAGGGAAACCCAGCTGTCCCAATTCCCCCTTCAGTCCGGGAAACCCAGGCAGGCCAGATTGCCCCTAGCCCAAACGTGTGCAAGCATATAAATATTATACAGTTCCAATCATAATACATTAACTCTTTTGTGAATGATTTAACTGGTTTGAGCCATTCATTAGAAACTTGGTTTGATGAAAGAACCATCAGCGAGAGTCACTGCAGCTTAGGAAGAGTTTAATGTGAAGAACCTTTCTATGTCTAGGACTCACCAGTAATCCAGGTAGACCTCTGTCCCCCTTTTGCCCAACCTGTCCAGGAGGCCCTGGAAAGCCTGGATCCCCCCTTTCTCCTTCGGATCCGGCAATTCCTGGAATTCCCATTAGGCCTGGATCTCCAGTTTCACCTGTGGCAATACAGAATAAATTTCTGGGTTTTTTTTTCTTGGATCGTCATTACAAAGAACGTACACATCCAATTAGTTTGTTTACCTGGCTCTCCTGGCTCTCCTGGGGCTCCCGTTTCACCCTTGGGCCCGAAATCAGGGGATCCTAGAGGACCTCGATCACCTGATTGTCCCGGTTCACCCTGGTTTCCAGGCAGGCCTCTATCCCCCTTGATCCCTGGGATACCAGGTATGCCAGGGAAACCAGGTACACCTGCACTGCCTTTGTCACCTTAAGAGAGGAACAAGACAACGTGATGATGAGCCTGGAAGGAGGTCATTGGGTCAGTACTTTTATCATCAATTGTTGCATGCAAATTCAAATAAAAGTACACTATTTAGTTTAAACATTGTGCTCTCATTCAATTTAATTAAAATCACACCCCCCCCAGTAAAAGGTTATCCCCCCTTGTTTTATAAATCTCTAGTGATGCTCCTGCTCTTTATTCAGAAACAAAATCTGACTAAATGATTGAGAATTAAGGTTGATACCCATGGTTGCCTAACCTTTGCTTCCAGGTTGCCCTTCAGAACCAGAAAACCCTCTGCCAGGTACACCTGCAAAGAGATTGCAAGGAGACAAAGGGTCAGAACAACAAGGCTGAGACGGGCACAGCCAAGGACAACTGCGGCTTTAATACTTCTTACACATAATTGTTGTTCTGAGTAAATTAAGTGTACATCTGTTACAATCAAAGGATGATTCTCTTTTGGAGTTAGATTTTAGCTCTTTTTCCAAGCTAGGTATAGCAAGAATTTGGTAACAATCTAATAGACATCTTTAATATGTTTTATGGGCAAAATATACACATGAATGCTCTGTTATATAATGTTAATATTCAAAACAGTCTAAAGCAGTATTTCCCAACCTGGTCCTTGGGGACCCACAGACAGTCCACATTTTTCCTCCCTCTCAGCTCCTGGTAAAATATGGGCTGTCAGCAGGTCCTCGAGGACTGGACTGGGAAACAGTGTTCGAAAGGATTGTATTCCTTCACCCACCTGAGTTCCCCTTTTCGCCCACAGACCCTGGCATGCCGTCCTCCCCAGGCAGACCCTTCTCCCCTTGTGTCCCTACCGTGCCCTGTGTACCCAGCCTACCTGGACACAACATAGTTCAACAGGAAATCGGTCATGCTCACGCTGAAATGCTTAATCTAAAACATAATACAACTGAGAAAAATGTAACTTGATATGTGAGGACTGTATAATATTTACAGAGTGGACAGCAGACAGGACAGAAGAAAATGACTAAACTGGTGACCAGTAGGTTACTCCTACTTGCAGGTGATTGCTTTTATGGAATCTCTAAGCATAACATGTGTTTATCCTATTGAAAATAGTTACATGTATAATGGTGTAAAATTATTACAAATTGTAGCTAAGTCAGTTTAAATAAAGGTTTCTGATCAGAAAACTACAGTGTTTAGTTCACACTGTTTAATGTCTTGTGGACAGTCAAGTAAATTTAACTAGACATATAGAAAAGAAATAAGCAAACAGTATGTTAGCAGATGCACGGTACTAAATGCATGTCTGTTTCAGATGATCATGGGATTCTTATGTCCAGTGACAGATGAGCATGTCAGTCATGTTAGGTCAAGTAAAATTATGTTTACAATGATTTTATGTTGGTCAAAGTCTGTCAAAACCTGTTAGCTTAGCTCTCTCCAAGTCACTACAGTATTTGCAGTTAATGTCCAATATATACATGTATCTGTTGAATGTGGCCACCATCATACCTTGTTTAGCTAATCAATACTTATTAAGAACATAAGAACATAAGAAATTTACAAACGAGGGGGGGGCATTTTGCCCATCAAGCTCGATTGGGGAGAACTTAAATAAAAGCTCAGAGTTGTTAAAATCTTATCTTAATAGCTCAGCTAACCTCTCCTCATAAGACATTCCTCTAAGACCAGGAATCATTCTTGTAGTCCTCCGTTCACCTTTTCTAAGGCAGCAATGTCCTTAAGGTATGGTGACCAAACCTCCACACAATATTCTAGGTGGGGTCTTACCAAGGAATTATATAAATGTAACATCACCTCCCTTGACTTAAACTCCACACACCTAGAGATATAACCCAACA